CTTTCACTTCTTCATTACTTTTCGAAAATATTTTTAATTGCAAATTCCGGTTTAACAAGAAAAAAAGTTTCGCATAATTCAAATGTAACTTAGACAAATGTATATAATTAATACAAATGGAATGAAGTCTAATTGAAATGATAGCCTTGAATGGTGATAAAGTAACGACAATGTATTAAATTATATTCTAACGCTGCAGTAAACGCTGTGCGCCAACTTCTTGAAATAGCGATAAGATGACCATGCATTACGTCGAAATTGAAACATTAATATGCACAAAAGAAAGCACTGAACAAAAATTACGGATCTCTTGGGACGTTTTATAATTGAGGGTTAAATAAGGCAAAGTTCCATGAAAGTCCGATTCGAAATTCGAATTTACTTGTAGAGATTTTTCTTTAAGCAATAAATTGTAATGTACATCCACATATTCATACTTCTACTCTCATATGCTATATTCGCCTTTGTATTTCTACTGCTCTGCTATTTTAACGATATTTTCAAATGAAGTTGATATGCAACACAGAGACATTGTTTTGGTTACAATGAATAATTAGCTGTGGATTTAGATTAGTCTTGAAGAGAAGAGTAAAAGGTAATTGAAAATACTCATATCGGCGAAAATATGTCCTCAATTCCTCCTATCTCTTCAACTTAAGAAATGGATTAATTTTGAAAAAAGTAATTTTTCACGAGACTCAATCTAACCAATTTATCGTTATACAACAAGTAGGAAATAATCAAAATCTAATGAAACTATTCTCAGAAGTTTATGAGCTCACGCTTAATTGTACTGCCTCTGTGGAATTATAATTTAAAACATACAAACCAACAACGGAAATACTGATCAAAAGATGTAATCTGATACATCATATAAAATATCGAATTTTGATACAGGAGTAAACTTCTGCAGTTAATGAACATGTGTACAGTTTGAATATTTTTAACAATGGAATAGCTCAAGTGGAATATTAATATTCCAAAAAATTAAAATATTAATATTCCACTTGAGCTATTCCATTGTTAATATTCCACTTGAGCTATTCCATTGTTAAAAATATTCAAAATGTACATATGTTAACGATATCCCTATTTGACCAGTTAAAAGTTTAGCATTGTAATCATGGCAGACAACTTAAAATCGTGCAAAATAACAAAACTTGTTTATAAACCTATCGTTATGCTTTTGGATGGAAAATCAAGAGGAGGAACAACGAAGCCTAAACATAAAAAGTATAGTAAAACCAACTTGACAAAAATACATTAATCAAAATCAATTTGATTCAATTTGTTGGATTGCATCGCATAAAAACATATATTTGGGAAGATTAAGGATTCAACATACGAAAATCTTGTTAGTAGGCGCAGTATAAAAATATAAGTTTAACTCTTTAAATATTCGTAAAGTGGCTGGTACTGCTGTTGAACTTCTCATTCCTATTCTGTCGGTCCTTCGCTAGTTAAAGTATAGTTTCAGATTTAGCAGTTTCGATGAATCACCGCTTGACTGCTTCATCAATCTTCTTGTATCCCGGCGTTAGTAACGGCGAATTCGTGCTGCGAAAACTGCAAAATCTCAATTCTTTGCTCGGCCGATCTTCTTAATTCTCCACTAGCAATGTATTATAATCCTGCGTTAGAGACATCCGATCCCATATGTTACATGGTATCATTTTCTCATTGCTCCGAAATATTCTATCATTTCTTGACTGCATTGTTTTTTCTTCCAGTGTAGTGCATGAGACATTAATATGAGTCATTCCTTCGCTTCAATTAATTGTTTTTTCCAAACAATACCGTATTGATCACGATGAATTCTTCTCATTTGATAACCTTCTTTAGCTTTGTCGTTCTATACTTGAATATTCTATAAGTCACCTAGATTTAATAATTTTATTACTCTTCTGATATCCAATAAATCATCCTTCCTTATCCTTGCTGATTTCCAACGCACGATTAATACAGAAACAAACAATAAGTATAACACTGATTATGTTTGTAGTTTGGTTGCTTACGTCCCGAATTTTCTCAGTCCCTTTAACTGATACTGCTAGCTGAACTATGCTTTTAATTCTCTTTCTAAATGTATTATTTTACCGAATAATTCTCTTTCGTTGATTTCCTTCATCACTAAATCGCTAACCGCTACTACTATTACTACTACTGCTGATCACTTTAACATACCCCAACGAACTGAACTAGATTCCCGATTAAATTGTATTGAATCCTTCTAGATTGTTTAATAAGTTTCTTATACACTTTCTGAAGTTGAGATTGCTCAAGTCAACTGATTCGCTTTGGTCAACCCTTTCGATATTAATTTTTGCTCTCTTAAGTTCATCTTTTCTTTTTGATCGATCTGCTCAATAACGCTATTCTCTTTTGTCGTCACTGCAGTTCTGTCCATTAACTCTTTACTTTTATTACTTAAACAAATATGAATAATGAATTTGCACCAAAAATGGTAATGTGCACCTTATATGTAGAAGTCTGATTTCTAGCACCTAAACTACTCTAAAATTATCAAATTTAGGCGGGTGAAATCGCCGAACTTAGGCAGAAAAGATATCTGAATTACCATATATGGCGCTTGCACATTCTGCCAATTCACATACACTTCCGCTTCTGGACAATTTATACATTGAATTACGAGCTCCCATCGCCTTCCTTAAGATTCATAAAGCTATCTCTTTCCTTTACATCTTCTGCCAACTTCAATATTCTCTCCTCAAACTATTTCAACATATTCTTTTCCTCTTCATCTGATTTGTGGAGTTTTCTGAGGAATTTCAGTCAGTTACTGTCTTCAATTCATCAATATGTATCTCGAGTTCTAGTGGCTTTTCTTCAAATTTCGTAATGCTCGCACTATCCCTGACTTAAGAAATACGGCATCTGATCTAGATTTTTGATCTAGTCGAGAACAGTCATGATTCTTCCTTGTGCCAAGTGGTACTCCTTTCACCACTTACACGTCAGCCTTCCAACTCATCGCATCAAAAGTTTGGAAATCAATCATTACATACGAAAACTTCATCACTGAGTAAAGTATAAAAGAAGCAAACTCTCACTGCATACGATTTGGCTTGTCTTGTTATATATCCGAATCTCATTTCGTCGAATAACTCCGCATCTACCTCATAGACGATCTCACGAGCTACTCCTAACAATTGCAACCCACTAATTGTTATAGTTATTAATTGAGGAATCGTAACAATGGTCTCATCTATTTTCCATACTCATTTTATACCATCTTTCCTTCTCTTGTTTCAGCCATTTCCACTACCGTTATACCAATTTGGGCTTGCTTCTTTCCTTCATGTTTTTTTATCGGTTACAACCCTGTCATTCTCGCTGACTTTTGCTTTATGTAAGTTGTCTACAAACTCTGTCTCGCACGAACTATTTTTACCATTTAGAATATAAAATTAAATAAGCAGTCCTTTGCATTGCGTCCCGATGTCGCTAATAACGCAATTGCCTTAATTCTATTCAATCGACTCACTCTTCGCTCAAACATAACCCTTTGTTTTTTTTAATGAGACATCAATTCTGTCATCTCACTAAATCGCTTCCTCGTTTCCTATTGCTAGTAATCGAGAACAGTTAAGTGTTCGGATGATGAACTTCCTTACTTGTCAATGTCATCCGTAATGATCGATCCAAAAGTAACAACTCTATTTCCTTTTTTTAAACACAAATTGTATCAAGAAAAGACTATGTCCAATGTACTATCTACACTTGCATATAAGACGATCAAGTTCTTGTATCCCGTGCACGTTTCCCCATTGTTCTCAAAATTAATGGGAAGCATTAACACATTACTTATTACATTTCTGGATTCCTTCAACTAAGATCTTTTACTTATTTTACCGGATCACCTATGAATTCCTTAGTTCACTGGACAGCTGCAATCACTTTGTTGGTTCTACATAAAACATTGATTACTCTTGACAGTGATGAAACAAGATATGTGGTATCAATTAGTTAAATGACGCGTATTTGCAAGTTCTCGACTGGAATAAAAGGAAAACCCAGTACCATCCACTGCCAGCTAATAATTGTTTTAACATTTAGAAAGGTTACTCTCTCCATTCATTCTGCTCTTTAACTATATCAACAAATTCATCCCCCATGCGGAAACAAATCTTCCTTTTTATCCCTCTTTTTCCTTCTATCCTCTACCTACTTCCCCAATCCGGAAAATCTATCATCCCTCTATCCTCTCCTTATTCCTCTAACTCGGAAAACCTACCATCCCCTTATCCTCTTCATTCAGAAAATCCCCTAAGATCCGGAAAATCGAAATACACGAAGTAAGACTATACAACAAACTCTTTCCTATCTTCTCATGCCTAAACCTATCATAATTCGTGCCCAAGCCATAGCTCATATCATTTAGTTGTGTGATATTTCACTGACGTTCACTCATATTACTAGTATTACTCTAGTTATCTCGTTTGTTCTTCAACTTTCTAATCGTTAAGCATATACTATCTAGCAAATTTCATTGTTCTCTCTCATCTCTAACATTTCGTACTATTTATCAATCGTGTAGCTACAGTGCAACAATGCAGAGTTTTTTTTTGGCAATTCTGCGAATTCGTTTCTATGTTTTCCCTTTCTTCATGTACAATATTTCGAAGACAATTTAATCAAACGTCTGACGTCTTTTAATGAGATTAATTCTTTGCGGGAAAATGCGGGAGTACTCACAGATGATTTTTACGAAATCTGTGAGTTTCAGGAACGGTTTACTTCCCGGTAGATGGAATTAGCTGAGGTGTGACTATAATAACTCTATCAAAGGGAACAATTCCGGATTAGGTAATGGAGAAGAATTTTTGAGCTGTCAATAATTGGTATTACTAATGTGTATGTCAATGCAATTTCAAGTTTGTGTAGCTCATGATATAAATTACAATTTAGACGTTTTTTTCTTCAGCTAATAACCTGCTGAGTACTAAATTCATAGATTTTAATAAAGCTGAAGAGTGCACATGACTTCTCACTCGGTTGGCGTAAGTCCGTTTCCTCAACCACCGGAATATGCTCGTCAGTATACAGATGCTAATGTGGCAAAGAAGAACGTATTGCCGCCACCGGTTATACCATCCGAATTTACAGTTTTTGGCGAAGAATACAATTTCGAGGAGGTTTCGAATCTTTTATTTATATATTTCATTTTTTCTTTTCTTCTCAAACTTAGAATATTATTTTCCGCAGAAAAAAATAACTGGAATATTTTAGTTAGTTCTTATAATGATATTTCTCATCTAATTAGTTTAAGAACTGTTCCATTTAATTAGTTTAATTTTTCCATATGAGTTGAGAATGCTGTCTGCTTAACCAGTTACTATAACTTCAGCTATTGGTGAAATTGCGTTTTGAATTTTGCAGTTTTTGAACTTTTTTAGAAAAACTTTGAAATCCTGCTGGAAACGAAAATTTTTTTTTTTGACGAACTGAGCTGGATTGGAATTCTTTCTTTTGTAATTTAGCAAAAAATTTTTACGTTACAAAAATTAAATGAATTGCAGGAAATGATACGATCACTGCAATCTCAAAAAATGCAGCAGTTATTTTCGAGTAATGGAGACTGGAGAAGTGAGTTGAAAAAATTAAACAGGAGTACCGTTGCTGCGTTTCTTGATCTTCTTGATATCCTCATACGGTAAGCTGATGGTTTCTTATGGTTAGCTAAAAATCCGATTGGCTGGTTGCATTTTTTTAACTTTTTCGAGGACTTTCATGGCCATTACTGAGTCCAAATGACTATAGTCTGATTTCTCAAGTTTTTATTCAGTATCGCAAATGTAAGTCAAAAATTTCTTTCATTAAACTTTTGTCAAGGCTAAACTCTATGTCTTTGAGATATTAGCGGTGCAATATTTTTTCTGAATAAGTAAGGGAACAAACATTCTATGTAAATATTGTTACAGCCAGGTTTATAAAAAGAACGAGAAAGAAAAAGGGCAACTTGACTTAGAAAGTAAAAATAAGAATTGAATAGAGCATAGTTCGATATAGTGGAAGAAGCTTTTATTTTCTTTTTCATCGCTTTCACCTTATGCAATTAGATATGCTTCAAATTACGCGTATGGCGAAAAATAATACTTTATTAATAACAAAGTATTGTTAATAATAATAATAATTAGTACTATTGTTGTTGAGTTAATTTTGTCAATTCTCAGGCATTAGCTTTATTGCTTCTTGGATGTTTGACGAATTAATCATCAAAAATACCTATAAATAGATATTCTTTCAAACGATATCGGATGACGTAAACATGGGAAGGAAGGCGCGGTTGTTTGCGGATATCTATTTTGTTTGCATTAACTTAGCCATAATAGTATTATTTTAAGGTGTCCAAATCATCCAGAGCGTTTAGAGAAAATCAATAACCTACGTCTTCTTTTCATCAATATGCATCATCTGATAAATGAATATCGGCCGGTGCAGGCACGAGACGCGTTGCAGTCGATGATGAAATTATTAATCAAAACCATTGAGGTATATTTTTTCCACAAAACTGCAATTTCATCATCTGTCACCTCGAAGTTATTTCCGAAAACTAAATGTAATTGATGAATCGTATTTGGTAATATATCTCAAGGTTTTCAGGAAGTTACGAGTCGTTTTCGCACTTATCTGGCGATGGGTCATGAGGCGTTGAACCAAGTTATAGATGAGGTACCTCCGGTACTTTCAGCCTCTTCAATGCTTAATGTTGAGGTATTTTTTTTTCATTTGTTTTGTTTTTGATATCTTGCTAGCAAATAATGGTCCTCGTTATTAGAAATCTGATTATACGGACGATCATTTTCAAGATTTTTTTTAGACACCATTTCCAACGTTTCTTCCTGGAATTTAAAGTTTTGCCTGATTTTAAAAAGTTCCAGGATATGAATGTTGGTGAGTCGGTGGAGCAGCGAATTGGAACAGTGGAAGGTGCAGTTAGCAAGCGGAGGAGTAGCTATGATGAAGCCCGGAAGACAACCGCATCCAGGCGTGAAGCATGGAGAAGAGATATAATGCTTTGTGAATTGCTAGACAATATGGGTGATACAGATCTAGAAAGGAGGCTATCACCTTCTAGAATTCAAATGGAATACTAATATACCTTTACATAAAACCTTTACAAAACCTTTACATATTTAGCTTAAAATAAAAAATTGATTTTAAAGAACTTTGTCGCAGTACATCACCCATTTATTGTGAATATCATTGAAGCAATACAGAAATAGATATCAACCAAACTATTAATCTATATGGCTTATTTGCTGTGTATTTATTGCAACTGTAAGATAACTGTGTTACATATTTATCATACGAAACTTATGGACTGTATAAATTATTTTACATCATACATGATCGGGAGGAAATGTGGAAACATAATTTGTAAGAAGTATTTCAATATATATTTTCATGTTTTTTGAATTTGAATGGAGCTGATTTTCGAAGTTTCATCTTTGTAGATAATCTTGATAAAAGCATTCCAAATGACATAATGCTTACATTATTTGGTCAGCACTGATTGAAACAATATGAACACGTTTGTTGTTATTGATTTTGTAACAACGAAAACCAGGGGTTTTTGACAGTAGAGTTCTGATGTGTGAGAGATGTCGAAGAGAACTGAGAAGTGCACTCATCAATTTAGGGAAACTATATCCACATTCGGAAAGCATTGGTTCTAAATATTGTATATTACAAATTGGGAGAGTACAAAACATGATTACGGAATGTGCTCAAGAAGGTTATTATTTGGGAATGCGATTGTATAGGTTTGATTTTGTAATATAGTTTTGCTATTTGCAGAGTTTAGTATGAAGCAATTTTTTTTGAACGGTCCGACTATGTAGCCGGTACTATTATTGCGGAAAGAAGTTGTATGGACTAATTCCAGACATATTAAAGAAGGTGGTTCCACGAGGAATGTATGGGTTACTTGTTACATCATTTTCTTAACAATTATGTCCGGAACTTTCTGATATTTGTTAAAGTTTCAAACCAGCTAGTGATGCGGGAGATTGACAGTCCCAACCATCTGTCACCAACATATACACTGTATAATGTTCATTGACTTTCTCTCTGCTTTCATCTTATGCCATAGTCAATCCTAAGAAATTTTTATTTTCAGGATGCCTGAATCGAGCAAACAATGTGAGTCTATTCATATTCCAACTCGAAGTTCTCGTCATCCATTGCTGTGCGTCGAATGCCATAAACGATTTCCAACAATGCAAGAATTATACTTACATTCAGAAGTATGCATCATTGAATCATTTGAAAATGAAGCTATCAATGTGTTTTCGAGTATGCCATCACTCACAGAACCAGCTACTGCTTTTGTCGCTACTGCACATGCTGGAATTACGGCTAAAGTATGTTTGTTCTTAAGGTTTCAAGAAAGATGAAGATTTTCAGGAAAAGAAGCTAAGGATAGATAAATTTGATTTAATATGAATGGTGAGAACATTGACCCGGTTTCACTGTACTGCTGTTTTGTTGCGTAATTTTTTGAGACCAATATCCAGGTAAATAATCACTTTAATTCAGAATAAAGGATTCTCAACAAATAAGAGTCTTTCATACCAATTTTTTGAATATTTTATGAAAAACTCAATGACCATCTTTATTATATATCTATTTTTAATCTAATTGGTTTTTTTCCATTCGTAGGGAGATGATCCCCCAATTTTGGTACCAGAGACGAGTGCTTCTGCGAACTCTTCAGGATCGACAAGCCTTTCACTTCCAGCGAAACACGGAGCAGAATGTTCACTAGTTAAAAAAACAGAACGAATGGCAGCAACAGAAACATCAAAAACAGCGCCTATTTCATTAATGTCTACTTCGGAATCGGAACAACGGTATTAGCCATTTGCTGAAAACTTCGCATCCATAATTGTTGCAGAGTGAAGCTTTTTGAGAAATGGTTTTAAATATTCTATAAAGTAATAATTTTTAAGGTCTTATTGGATAGATAGTTGTTTCGAATGGACAAAAATCAGTTATTTCAGGTCCCATAAATTACCTTTTGAGTTAGAAAATGCGCAAATATTGCAAAGTCCCGGTGGATTGAGGATTTATGTATCGATTGAAAGGCAATGTGGGAGAGGGAGCGATGGAATTGGCAGTGGAAATGATGGCGGTGGTTATGAGTTTCAAGGTTTCATATTTAAAATTTCATAAAATTCAAAAAACTGTATAATTCACCTTTAAATAGCCCCTACTACATCTCACTTCTCCTCGCTTTCAGTTTTCAAATAGATTTGATTGTATAATGGGAGAATGACTTTTGATTTCTGAGTGGCAAGTTACCGAAACTGAGTTTCAATTTAGGTGCACACAG